TATGTGGCCCTTTGAAAATTAATGTAAGAGAACTGTAAGTTCAGCAGTAGTAAAGTCAACATTGAACATAGTTGCCCATATGTCTTTGTGCATCCAAGAAACTTTCCTGTACAGGAAAAACCTAAGAATCTGAAGCAGCAAAATCACCCAGAGCATGCCACCGATGAAAGGAGAAGGCTATGCGTTAAACCTTACTTTCAAAACAAGCTGCAGGAAGTCATTTGATGTGCTCCTACTGCAGACTGACCACACAATGAGGTTTTTTTTCCCCCTCCAAAAATGAAGAGTTATCCAGAAGATGTATAAAATTAAATTGCAAAAAAAAAATAAATAAATAAAATAAAATCTTAACATCATTACAACAAGACTTGAAGTTCCCAAATTTAAATTTTTTAATTATGGAAACCTCAATGGCTTTCATGTTTTTATTGGATTTTCTTCTACAGGTTCACTGCGTGGGACTGAAAACAATATGGAAAAACAACCTCTCTTTAAATATATAGCTCTAAGAATAAAGAATTCAAGTTAATGTGGGTCTGTTTTTGCAAAATGTCCTGACTAACACCATATATAACTTCCTCATTTAATAAATTATGCATTTCAGCTTCCTATTCAAAGTTGAGTAAGCTACTTCCCATTTACTGCACACTAAGGAAGTCTACAAGATGAGTTGGCCTTACTTTCTCATAATGCCTCCATGATACATTTCAGTAATATCAAAATTGGGGCAGTCTTACAGATTTCAGATTTTCTTCTTAACTATTAAATGCAACTGAGCCTCCAGATCTATGAGAGACACACTGAAGATTTTTGAAACACTCAGTCTGATCCATTTTGGTTAGAATTTGTAGTGTGCTATTTTGGCACTTTCATCTTCATTCATGGTTGAAACCAGAAAGATTAATTTCCACTAGAAGAATCAATCCTTGTTTTAGTCACACTTCTTCATCATTCCCTACTTCAAATCACAATATAAAATACCAGCATTGCAGTAAGTCTAGTTTTCTACTCTTATTCAAATCAATAATAAAAGATTTCAATGACATCAATGGAAGAAGGACCAGACTCTTACTCAGAAATTACATCAGAAAACAAATAACAACCACATATAAAAAGATTTAGGATTTGTGGTAGTCA